CACACACACGGATCAGTTGAGATCACTGACATGTTACCTTCACCCTTTGATCTGGCATTGATTCCCCCAGTGAGCAAATCAAATATTTTGGTTTCTGCTTACTTCTTGTCTGCAGCCTCATTATCAGTCAACAGAAGTCGGAGTCTCTGAATCTAAAACAAAAGAAAAATGTGCGTGAAAAATAAGTATTAAAGTATAAAAGTCTTCTTGCATGGTTAGGAGTCCTTTTAAGGAAATCCCTTCAATGCTGTGTGTGAATATAGTGTGTGATGTGAACATGAGTGAGCTGCAACCTCTAAAAGTGCTTTTTCTCTGAGTTCAGCTGAACTATATTTGTGGCTTTGGGATTGTGTAGGAGAATGATCAGCCTCGGTTTTTGCTTTCGATGATTATCAAGTGTCTTCCACTGAGGTGTGTGTGTGTGTGTGTGTGTGTGTGTGTGTGTTTCTGGTTACGACTATGGGTTAGCGTGTGCTTAGTAGTTTGTGAATGAGGATGTTTGTATATCAGTGTATGCATTGTGTGTACACATGTACGTACATGCATGCATAACCATTCAAGCACATATGTATCAAATAAAAACCGAAAGAACTGTGGATGCTGTAAATCAGGAACAAAAACAGAAGTTGCTGGAAAAGCTCAGCAGGTCTGGCAGCATCTGTAAAGAGAAAATCAGAGTTAACGTTTTGGGTCTGGTGATCCTTCCTCAGAACTGACGGTAGCTGGGAAAGCATTGGTTAATATGCAGAAAATAGGGAGACGGATGGGTAGGGAATAAACGATCGGATAGAGCCAGAAGAGAGAGAAAAGCAGTTGGGTAGACGAAGGAGTTGATAACGATCTAGCTAGGAGGGTGACTAGTTGTTAATGGGGACCGTTAGTGACTAACAATAGGTAGTGAATAATGGCAGGCTGTGATAACAAGGCCTGATTTGTGTGGATTAGGACATGGGAGAACTTAGGCCCTAAAATTATTGAACTCAATATTGTTGTGTTGAAGCACAAACATATATCTGTTTGTATGTGTTCATATATATTGTGTGTGAATTTGTATATATTGTATGCATACATGTATGCGTGGTGGACATATGGAGACATACCAACTTATATAAATGATTATATTTCCATAGTCAGTGTTGAGTTGCCTGTTCACCCCCAGCTCTTTGCTCACAAACACAGTACCCTCTCAGCAGCACAGCAACTGAAAGGTGCCAAGCTGCCTGCAGACAAGTCAGCTCCTTTAAGTTGCTTCTTGTGTGTGCCTGTGAATAATTGTTGGAAGTCCCACCTCCTCCAGAGGAGTGCAATAACATCTCTGAACAGGTTGATTAGAATATATTTTAAAATTTAGAGGCACCAGATTCTTAAAGAAATCAGCCGTGCATTCTGAAAGAAATTAGAGGGAATATCTCTTAGCAAAATAAAGAATGGTTATCGGGGTTGTTATTACAGGGAGCTGATCTGAAAGATTGTAGGCAGAGCCCAGGAACAAACCAAGGAAATCAAAGATTGGTCTCTTTTCTAGTTTTTTTCTGACAGTGATTAGATTATCTTGTTTTCTTGGAACAATGGAGATTAGAAGACAACATGCTAGAGGAGTTTAAAGTGGCTCTCCGACCATAGAGAGAGAAATGTCCAGTGACTGAGGGGATCCTGAATGAGACAATACACGTAGAGAAGATTAAATGTAACCAACTTTGGTTGGAGAGCTGGATAAACCTTTGTACACAGAAAGAGACCATTTGGTCCAAACATTCTATTCCAGAGTTTATGTTCCACTCAAGCCTCCTTGTTACTTATTTTAATCAAAACATTATCAGCGCATCCTTCTATTCCTTTCTCCCTTGTGTATTTATCCAACTTCTCCTTAAATACACCAGTGCTTTTCAGCATATCCTCAAATGTCCCTCAGTGATGGTGTCTAAAAACAGGCCAGATATTACATGTATGTTGACAATACAACCTGATCTCACCACCATCCAACGTGACTGCTCCACTGTTTCAGATTTGTCACACTCACTGACATTCAAGTATTGGATAAACCAACACAGACTCCACCTTGGGAATATCAAAGTCCTTGTCTTTGGTATTTGCTGCAAACTGTTCCCTGGCCACCTTTTCCATCTATGTCCATGGTAACTGCCTGAGATTGTGTGACACTGTTGGCCATATTGTTGGTTTGACTTTGAGATGACCATTTAACAGCTGTAGCACCAAGACTGCCAATCCCCACCTCCATAATATCACCCAACTCTGATTCTGCCTCAGCTCATTTGCTGCTGAAACCCTTATCCAGACCTTGTTTTCTCCCCACTTTACTATTCCAATTGGCCTCCCATCTTTTTCATCACTTAAATATGTACTCATCCAAAACACTGTTATTCATCTCTTAACTTGCAATCTCCTATTCATCACCTTTTGCATGACCAGTGAAGCCTCAATTTTGAAATTCTCATCCTTGTTTTCAAACCTCTCCCTGGCCTTCCCACTGCTTAGCTTTGTAACCTATTCCAGTCCTAAAAGTCTTTAAGATCTCTGCATTCTTTCAGTCTGGCTTCTTACACATCCTAATTTTAATTCTTATACCTATCTGTCTGTGTTTTCAGCGTACCTCATCCTAAGATCTGGAATTTCCTCCCTAAATCTCTCCATCTCTTTCCTCCTTTGAGATTCTACTTTTAAAAAAAAACCTCTTTGACGAAGCTTTTGCTCATTGCATCGATATTTCCTTTCGTGGGTCAGTGTCAAATTTTGATTGATAATACTCATGTAGCACCCCGGGCTATTTTGTTACATTACAAGTACTGTGTAAATGCAAGTTATAGTAGTAGTAATTACTCTACATAGTAGTGAATTCCATGTCTTCTTCTCACTCTCCAGCTCAAGGAGTTGCTTCTGTTATTTTGAAATAGTTTTTATTGGTAACTATCTTACATTTATGGGTCCTAGCTTTGATCTTCCTAAAAGTGGGTTCATCCCCTCTACATCCACCCCATCAAATCTCTTTCGTAAGTTTATGACCTCTATAAAGCCACCTCAACATTCTATTTTTCTGTTCAATCTTTCTTAATTAGTTATAATACTTCAATTCTGGTCTTAATCTCTGTTATTCTTCTATACACTTTTCTACAGTACCTCTATGTCCTTCTTGTAATCTGGAGACTTGCACTCTGGAGAGAATTCCAAGAGTGCCCTAACCGCATACCAGTTCCTTAAATGACTTTCCTGCTTTTCAATTTTATTCCTTGATAAATGGATATCAGTGCTGTTTTCATGATAGCCATTTGTTGAAGGCTCCAGCTCTGTAAAACGTTGTTTCTATCCATTCATTAAAACATAAATGAAGTGAACGAGTAGAGTATCACAAAGTACAGCTGCAAAGAACTGCATGGGTAAATGGGCAGTTCAAAAGACTTCTGGTGTGTTATTAACTGTGCCCCTTTTGTAAGCCTACCTCTTCATAGTAAGTCTCTGTGACAATCTTCATCTCTTCAATGTTAGTGGTCTTCAAGTCGTTTTGGAGTTTGCTGAAAATTGGAATGACAAGCTGATGAATTAAATTTAGAGTGAACATTGACAGCAGTATGTCAGGCAATGAGTTAGAGATGAATAGTACTTGTGTTGTCACAAGTTATATATAATTAGTAATTAAAACGCATTAAGGATGGCAGTTCAGATGCTGTGTTAAGGCTACAGCATATGGGAGTTCCTGCATCCCAGTGTGATCCAGGGCAAACACATCTACATAAGTGTTCGAGCAGCTTTAGTTCAGAGTTTATGTGCTGAAGGTTGAACCACAGACCTTGTGATATAGTAGGCAGGGGACTGTTACCTGGATTCTTTGTACCAAGAGGCAGTCACACCACTTAGAATCAGGCCTTCTGATTTGATCAATCATCAGGGACAGGAGTGAAGCAGTTAAAAGGATCCAAAGAATAGGAGTGCAGAATTGTCAGCCTCTGCAAATGTTTAATATGTTTGGTGTTTTCTCAGCCTATTTCGATAAGAGCAGGGTTTCAGGTTGGATGTGCAAACTGACCATGGCTCTATAGTATAGGAAACCACTTAAGTGGGGGGAGCAATAAGGAATGTTGAGGAAGTAGTAGATAGTACATTGAGGGGGACTGACGCTGTTTTCTACAGCAAAGAACAAGAGTTCTGATAGCTGTATTGCCTGCCTGGGATGGGACATCTGCTTCGGTTTGGAAAAGAATTTGCAGCAGGAAGGGAGCATCCATAGTCCATGTCGGCGCCGAGGAAGAACTGGAAAGAGATTCTTCATTGAGAGTATGAGGAGATAGGCTCTGAATTGAAAAGCAGAACCTGTTATAGACTCTGAATTATTATCCAAACTGTGTGCAAATTGGTACTGGGTATATAAAATTAGAGACATGAATATATATAGCCCAAAGACTGGTGTGGGAGAAGAGGGTTCCAGTTTGTGGGCCACTGGCACCAGTACTGGGGAAAGTGGGGTCTGTATTGGTGGGATGGTCTACACCTGAAATGTACTGAGACTAATGTTCTCATGAACTAAATAGTGTGGGCAAGGAATTAAATGTGGAAAGATGTGGTATATCAAAGAGTTGAGACATGGTAAGAGAGGCAAATAGTAAAATAGGAAATGATGGTCAGAGATTGGCAGGAATGGGGGAATTAGAAAAATCTAGGAGTGCAGAATCAAAACTAAATATTACAAAGATACCAAAAAGACAAAACTGAAGACTGTATATCTGTATGCATACAACATTCATAACAAAATAAACAAATTGATTGTATACATTTAATTTATTAAATATGAGCTGGTAGCCATTACGAAGTCATGGCTTCAGGATGACAAGGATTAAGTCCTGAAAACTGAGAGGTATTTGACATAAAAGAAAAATAGGAAGCTAGGTAAATTTGGTGGGAGATAATACTGTTAATCAAAGATAACATTTGTGCAACAGTTAAGAGATGACCTTGGTTCAGCATATCAAAATCTAGAATCAGTTTGATTTGAAATAAATGACTGAATCTTACGATTTTTGGCTAAATGTGATTTGCATTGAATCTCTTGAAGTTTCTGCCACTGGGCCTAGTGATTTTTCTCACACTATCTTACCAAACTCGCTTCATTTATTCGCTACCCTGCCTCTCAGCATCACTCACATCCAATTCTAGCCCTATCTTACCATGCATTGCTCCCAGAGTAACTTGCCATTCACCAGATATCTGCCAAAAGACCAGCCTCCCTTGCACCCATGCCATCTTTAAAAGCCCATTGTGCACCCAGGAAAAATACTGTCACTCCAATGCTGCGCTGCAGAGCTTCTGCCATTTGCCCTGGGCATGGCCAGTACGGAGAAATTGTTAGCCCGCTTTGCTGGCAGGGATCTGGATGTCCTGTTGGATAAGGTGATGTAGACATGGGATGTTCTCTTCCCCCTCGACCAGCAGTGAAGGCCATGACATCCGACCATGCCAGCCTGCTCCAAGGTTGGCACCTGGGTCAGTGCAGTCTCAGCCATTTAGGAAGAAGGACAATGACTTTCTCCACTTGGCCAGCGTAAGTGTCACCATCTCTTTCTAATACCTCACACTTAAGCTATCTCTGTGACTCTGTGCACCAGGCACCCAAGCTCATATGCTCTACCATTCTCACTACTGCCTCCAACATTTTCTCTCACTTGTTGTCACACACCCCAACCCCTATCACAATTAACCCTGCATATCATCTGCGCTGCATACTTGTTCAGGACACCTTCCCCACCTGCACCAAAATTAACAGCTATGTCACCCACTTTCATTTGCCTTAATATCTACCTCTGTCTCATTGCAGGAGAAAACTCACCCACATTAGAACGGAAAGAGTCAAGACAGGTGGTGGATTGTTCGATATTTGGCTCCTCAAACCTACATGGAGAGTATTCTGACTCTATCCTGAGCGGCTGACTGAGAGTGTCCAAGCCCCTGGACTGGTATCAGAGGCTACTCTTGACTTGCTGTGCCAGGACTTCCTGAGTGAAGGGTGACCCCCTAGACTGAGGACTGCTGACAACCACAACAAGATTCCTGCCTTTGTGTCTGCGCTAAACAGCAAGGCAAGCCCAGAAGTAATATTAGCCTGGTAGCTCTGGCTGAGGAGGCAAAATGCACAAAGGCATGGCAAGGCAATGCAAAGCAGGGATGGTCTGAACATCCAGGAAGGCTCAGAGTGAGTAAGCATTATTACAGTGAGTGAAAAATCCAGGGATGCAATCTGGTCCAATCTGTAAACTGCATGTGTTTCCCTGACCACATAATGTCCGTGCAGCGGGATTACAATGACACCTGCTGGCGCAGAATGAGGTGCAGCACTGAAGTACAGAAGTGCACTGTGACTGGACTGGAGTTGTTTCATGAGGGTTCTTGAAGGCTGGCATATGTTGGATGACAGCTTCGTGCACATGAGGTGTGTGGGCGTGGCCAATGCCTGTGAAGCATGTCCTGAGATGTTGGTACCTGGCATCAACTTACGGAGGTCCTTTGGAGCAAATGATGAGCTGAAGTCGCTAGGCACCCGCTAATTTCCATGTTGAGATTTCTCAATATCTAACTGGTTTGATACGTTTGATAAGATGGGAAGTTGAATATTAATAAGGCAAGTTGTCCCATTAGAACATAGAACATTACAGTGCAGTACAGGCCCTTCGGCCTTCGATGTTGCGCTGACCTGTGAAATCAATCTGAAGCCCATCTAACCTTATGATGGAGGGAAGGTCATTGATGAAGCAGCTGAAGATGGTCGGGCTGAGGACAATACCCTGAGGAACTCCTGCAGAGATGTCCTGGAGCTGGGGTGATTGACCTCCCACAAGGACGACCATCTTCCTATGTGTCAGGTATGACTCCAACCACCGGAGCGTTTGCCCCCTGATACCCATTGATTCCAGTTTTGCCAGGGCTCCTTGATGCCACAATTGGTCGAATGCAGCCTTCATAGCAAGGGCTGTCACTTTCACCTCACTCTCAACTGCTTAGACTCTGAATTTAGATATTCACTACAAGCCATTACTAACTGCATCAGTGAACTTGTTCATTCACTCTCTCCCTCTTAGTTTCTGACAATTTCCCTTGCATGTCTCTACCTGCAACAGTAGTAGACTTGCCAACTTTAAGGGCATTTAAATGGTCATTGGATAAACATATAAAAGAGCATTTAAAAAGCTACAGTCCACCATAATTGCAACTTGTTGCAACCTAGTAAGAAACTTGCCACATCTCTAGGAAAAAGCATAAAAGATGGAGCAAGATGCTCCCAATTTCAAGATGGCCCTTGCTGGACGACACGTCCAATTCTGCCACAAATCTTGCCAAATCAAGTTGCTCAGAACTATATGAGATTCTGCCCTCTGCGTCAGTCTGAATGGGTTTGGAGAAGGAGGTATTTAGGAGGGGATTAGTAGGAATAGTAATAATAGATTTGTAGTAACTTAAGTAGTAGAATGATCTGTCAAAAATTCATAGTTGTTTACTTGTGGTTAGAATTTATTTCTTCATAATAAATAGTAGCTCTTTTTAACTACAGAAACCTGGTCTGTGTGTTCTGATAATCTGAGCCTATCAGATAGCTAAACTGAATACTTTGTACATTTTGATTTTTTTAATTTTTGTGGTGATATTTGAAATAATATGGTTTGATTTCCAGCTTCCAACTCAGTGAGTCATAATATGTATCATAAGTGGTATCCCATGAGTAACAGGGAGCTCCCATACATGTGTCAGTGGGGTGAGGAAAGATTGGATTGTTTCACAGACTTGGTCTGTGCATATCCATCGAACACCTGCATTGATGACTCTCCTCAGCTGAACATGCTTTCAGCAGCTTCAAGGATCCCCACAATTAGAGTTACTTAAAAAGCTAGGTATCCAATTGCTGGTGATCTGCTTTTGACTCTGTTCTGCTGTGTTAAAGTTAGTGGAAGCCATTTGCTTTTGGAGTTTTTATAGTGAGTTGTTGCACAAATTCAGGGAGGCTAGAGGATCTAGAGAACTAACTTGCATCAGGTATGGGGCTAGTTTTGCTGTGTCCCTGAGTCTGAAAAATGACAGAGAACTAGACCACAGGCTGCAGAGAAGGGAAATGCCATGAAGAGGGGCAGTGTGAGGGTTCCTGCATAGAAGCGCTCAGATTTTTCCATGTGGAAGCAAGCAACATAGCCAACATCTCACTGTGGGCTGTCAAATTGTAGCAACCTAGAGAATATGAAGGCTACTTTTGCCAGAAGAGATAGTGTCAAGCAGGGAGAGGATGCATGGTGTTGCCAAGGTAGTAGAATTCATGGTGGTGCAGGGCACCATTGACTGTAGGATGTGGCTCTGCTGTAACAGGGAAAGATACACAAACCGCTAGGGTTACCATTCTATAAATGTGCATTTGGAGTGCAATCACAAACAATAGATCGTGTCAGTGAATATATGCTATCTTGGAAGTAGCCATAATGTCAGAATACTGAGGCAATTTGCCATTTACATCTTTGTTTACACCAGAAGGTGTACCCTAGTGAACAAAGCTTCTCTCTGTATAGATGACTCATGGCTCCTGTCTGCTACCAGATGACATGAGGACAATATATGTGTGACAAGAGCCATGAAACCACCTCAAACATTCTGGAACAGACCATCAACAGGCTGAAAGAATGCTTCCCAAGCCTGGACTGCTTAGGATGCAACTTGGATCTCTTTGCTTTGGACAGGCTGTGCAAGGATATCTGTGCAGACTCCAGTTCCTAAAGGATAACTTCCTATTGCCAGCATAGATCCATCATTCCCCACCAGTGCATTCATTCTGAGACACCCTACCAGTGTTTTCTCGGTCAATAAAAGTTATTAACAAAATACTTTCCATTAATATCTTTATCCAACAACATAAGAAGATATGTAAACAAAACTGAACTATTTTTCCCTGTACATTCCTTTATTGCCTGTTTGTTAGATTGTCTATCCTTTTCACAGTAATCCTATGCAGAATGTACCAGTAATATGGCTAGTGGATTTTCAAAGGAGGAGACTGCAAATGGTTTTGGAGTGGCTCTTGGCCTTTAGAAACCAGTTTCAGACTTCATTACCCCTGCATTGGCAGCAGCAGTCTTGACTGGATAATTGAGAAACAACTGCAAAAGCACTTTCTGAGCGTCAATTGTGGGGACATGAATGTTATCATCTTGTAAGCAGTTAGCAAGTTCATGATCCATGCCACTGTCTGTTAGTGGCACCTCAGCAATCCTAGCAATTTGCTGGAGCATAGATTGCTAAACTGTTCTAAACGCCTGCAGCTCCTTTGAGCAGTGAGATCTACAGCTATGATGGCAATAGTTTCAAACTGCATGGCAGTAAGCATGGATTTCAAAACTGCTTTCTGAGCTTTCACTGCTGCACTGAGACTTCAGGTGGCAACCACCTGTCCTGCAGTGTCCTAGAAGCTGAGACAATGGCTGCCAGACACTGCAGTGCCACTAAGTCCATGAGTGTTGTCAAGAAGTTGGTCACAATTTTCTTAGTGAAAAGGATGGGGTATAAGCTCTGTGTTATGCCTGTGCCACATAGGAGTTTGACTCCTCAGATACTGGCAGACAGCTGTCTGGTAGGCATGCCAATACATTGAACATCTCGGTATGCATTCTTTTCAGCATCCTCCTGTCCTTGGTTCAAGGCCCTTTCTGGAGTACCTTGCAGCAGTACTCACTCACATCTTTGCTAGCCAGAGCTATTCTCTCCCTCATCTCAATACCCAACAATGCACCACGTGCATATCCAGACACTATACAAACCACCAAGGTACACATGGTGCCAATATCCAAGGTGGCACCTGTGTGTCATATTAAGTGACAGTGTTGCTTCCCTAGATGTCAGGTGTCGCTTTCTTCCTTCATCCTAGGGTTGGTCAGACAGCAGATTTTGTCTAATCAGAAGGGGAGAGGGGTGTAAAGAAGACATCATGATTGCACCATTTGCAGCTTGTACCTTGTCATCTGGCAGGAGGAAGGAGTTGAGAAAGACAGTCATCCTGAATACTTTCAGAGATGCTGGATGCTGGATTCTCTCACAGTAGGCCCCATGATGCACAGCATCATTTGCTGTGGAGGGTTCAGGAGTAGAACACACATGTCTCTGCCTTTTTGGCTTTGTTCCTTTCTATTGCCTTGATCAGTAACAGAGGCCAGAATGTCTCCATTTGTGCAGTGATGTGGTTGGGTGTTGTGCCTGCCACAGCAAAATAGTTGTCAGTGTGTGGAAGCAGAAAGAACCAGGCTTGAGGCCAGTGTAATTGTAAAGTATATGGAATTCAGATTGAATATTTCAACATTAGGACCAGTTCCAGTGTTAAAGACTCACATGGGTGAGGGATAGCACTGTGGTGTACTAAGCAGTACGAGAAGTTAGTGGTGCTATGGGTTGGAGATACCTTGTACTGATGCACTCGCTGACCATCCCCTTCCATATGAGGTCAATTATTTTCAGCACTGCACAAGGCCCTTGGAACCAGACTCTCTGTTCACCTCTTTGACTAAGCTAACTAGTTCTGCTTCCATGAACCGTGGAATCCTCTTCCTATCTGGTGTTCTATTTTCCTTCTCTCCAATTGCAATACAGAGTGTGAGCAACATTGTCCTTTCATTCAGTGCAGCTTCCCTTTAAAAACTGGTGGCTAACTGGAACATGTGCTAGTTTCTCACACTGTCAAATCTCTGCTTGTGCAGTGAGCCAGCTAGCATCCTAAGCCAGGATGGGCTGCATGTTGAAAAATTCATGAGGAGACAATGCAAAGTTTGCATGAAATGTGTCTCACTTGAATGGATGGGCAGACCAAGGATGGCAACTCTGTGCCTAAACATGTTTGCAACACGTGAAAGCAAAGCAGGATGTCATTCATTCTGTATTTTGTTCCCTTCAAATATTAATCCAATTCTCTTTTGAATGTTACTATTAAATCCACTTTGACCATCCTTTTAGGCAATGTAGTCCAAATCACAACAACTAGATGTATTAAAAAACATTTTCTCTAGTTCGAGCCTCTAGTTCTTTGGCTAACCATATTAAATCTGTCTCTTCCTGTTACTGATCCATCCGTCACTGCATAATTTTCCTTGGTTGACTCTAACAAAGCCCTTCAAGACTTTGAACACCTCTGTTAAAAGTTTAAATACATTACAAGAGTATTACTTGAACAATTTAAATGAATGATTTTGTGGTAGCTTAATTCTTGCTCTTTTATGCTAATGGAGGATTTGGATAATTGACAAAAGTGATCAATTTAAGCATGAATTGAAGTAGGAAGATTTAACACAACACATGTAGCCAATACTGAATGTAAGATTTTCCATTTGGTAGAAAAGAAGTAGCAGTATGCCAATTTTCAGAGAACATTAACATACAGGTATTCAAAGCTCTAATGCAATACAACTATACAATTGCTCCCTCCAATGGTGCAATGAGTTAATGCATTATCTGATGCATTTTGCAGTCCCAATCTGTACAATCTTTAATCCAGTGTTTTCTATCTTGTTACCCAGAACAGAGATGGGGCACCATAAATGGCCTTAGCAGCCCAGGAGGTTATGAGGGAAAATGAAACAATCTAAAATTTAGACTTTATTTGAGGAAACCAGATTATCTCATTTCAGATATGTATTCTTATTAGAAATATATGGCATTATCCTAAAATAAAAATAGAAACTTTTGATGAAACACGGCAATTCTGAAAGCATTTTTGGCAAGAGTTAACATTTCAAGCCCAATATGGCACTTCTTTGGAGGAATGTTGATTTGATGAAACATAATCTGATGATATGATTGTTAAAAAAGGTTGTTCTGCAAAACCACAATGATGTCCAGTAACTGGATTAAGTAGTAAAATGAAGTAAAAGGATTGCCAGGTAACTTACTTTAATATGCTCTCTTTCTCTTTACACTGCTTCTCCAATTTATAGATTCTCTTCTTTAATCCATTAACAATCTGGGGGTGAAAGATAAGGCAGAGATAATGATATTAAAATTTGTAGAAATTTCGGAGTTTGGCTCTGCAGCTTCCGTCTCATGTAGGGAGATACATCCTTTGGATAATACATTAAACTTATCTGCCTATGTGGAGATGAATACTAAATCTCTAATGGGGGTTGCAATGCTGCAAGGCTGAGATTAAAAGTACCACATGGTTACCTTCATCCAAATCCATTCTGTAGCGTTGGGTGGGATAGAGTCATACAGCACAGAAACAGACCCTTTGGTCCAACCAGTCCACGCTGACCATAATCCCAAACTAAACTAGTCCCACCTGTCTGCACTTGATCCATATCCCTCCAAGCATTTCTTATTCATGTACTTGTCTAAATATCTTTTAACCGTTGTAACTTTACTCATATCCATATCCCTCCAAGCATTTCTTATTCATGTACTTATCTAAATATCTTTTAACCGTTGTAACTTTACTCACATCCACCACTTCCTCTGGAAGTTCATTCCACAGTGGAACCACTCTGTGCGTAAAAAAGAAATGCCCCTCATGTCTATTTTTAAAATCTTTTCCTCTGACCTCAAAAATATGCTCTCTAGTCTTGACATTCCCCACCCCAGAGAAAACACACCTGCCATTCACTTTATCTATACCACTCATTATTTTATGAACCTCTATAAGGTCATCCCTTAACCTCCTATGCTCCAGTGAAAAAAGTCCCAGCCTATCCAGCCTCTCCCCATAACTCAAACCCTCCATTTCCAGCAATATCTTGGTAAATCTCTTCTGAACCCTCTCCAGCTTAATAATATCTTTCCTGTAACAGGGCAATCAGAACTGGATACAATACTCTAGAAGGAGCCTCACCAACGTCCTGTACAACGTCAACATAAGGGATGCAGGTAGAAGGGGCTTCTCAGATTACACTTGTTCTCTGGCCTTTGGTGTGTGATCTGGTCAGTCTTATTTTTCCTATTCAGAATCGGATTAGATTGAACAGGACAATTGATGCTTTTCACAGTTCAACAGCTCAAGATCTGGATTCATATATATTGAATGAGCAACATACCAAACAACTAAGGATGAATCCCAGAAAAAGTGAGTGTATTCAGAAGGTGAAGAAAACTGGAAGAAAATTTAAAAGAAATAGAAAATATGAAGAGGTTAATCTCATCACTTACAAGTTGATCTAAATCCTGTGAAAACATCTCCCTTTGTATGTGCATTCTGTTTAACTTGAACTGATTATTTTGTGATTTTCTAGCACTCTTACAAGCACAATGTTTCAAGACTGATTTGAAATTTCTACACATGAAAAAGACACACATTCAGATCTGTTCCAGCTAACAGTAAAATGCTGAGCATAAATGCTGTACAAATTCAGTTACAGGGCAGAGGGGTGTGCTCCTCTAAGGCATAAATGTGGCATAGAGAACGGCGCCCATTCTGTTGGACAGAGGAAAGGTTGCTCCTAGTTGCATTGTTCTCATAGGGGCACAACCAGAAGGAAAGAAACCACAGATAATTAACCTTGGGATGGTTTTCTGTGCCTGCTCATGCTGTGAATCTTCAAATCCGAACCACCTAAAAGGTCAAGGATAACATGTGCCCAGGTTCCCATTCAAGTCACACAACATCTGATTTTAGAGTTGAATCAGTTATTTCTTCATTGTCACGGAGTCAAAATCCTGGTATTCATTACCTAACAGAACCACTACAGTGGTTTAAAAGTTACTAGGAATGTAACTAGGAATTGGGAATAAACAACAATCTTGCCAGTGGTGCTCATATCCCAAGAATGAAATAAAAATGTTTACAAATTAAATAAATTATCAGAGGATAACTTTTTTCTTGTTTTGTGAGATTTACAATCCTATGGGACAGACAAATATAATTCTTGACTAAGTACATGGGCCTTAAAAGGAGGAAGTAATGCAGACTTCAGGAGTTTCTTACCCCGCTAGTGTCATTCTTTTTATCAATCAAACTCCTGGCATATTCTGAACTCTGTAAAACAAGAAAATGCACAGGTAGCTTAGAGACTGAATGGAAATGGCAGTGCTATTTGCTAAAATGAAAATGCTCTTTGTGAATATTTATCATGAACTCGTAAACGCTACAATATGTGGCCTTTCTCTATTTCTCATTTCTTAGATTTCATTGTATACACGTTTGCAAAGCAGCAATGGCTGCACTCCACAGCACTTTGATCTATTGCATCAGAGTCAGAAGGACATAGCCTTAAGCCCCACACCACAGTCGCCAATGCATAATCTGCCTATGTAAATATGTCACACTGTAATTACATTCTATTACCAGAATTGGCACTGTAGCATATCAATTTTCATCTTCTGGCTACTCCACACCTACTATAAAGAAATACTTTTTTTATAACCAACTCACTTTGCTGGTTCTCAAATGGTAACAAACTTTGCTACAACAAGAAATCAAAATAGGGGTGAATGATCTGACTTCAAAGTGGAATTAAGTATGTGTGCTCACGCAGGTATAATTACTACACCAGTCTCAATTCCCACTTCATTTGGCAGGACTAAACTTGACATTGATGTGGGAGATTGATTAGCTATTTTCATTAAATAATGTTATAAAAATATTTTTTAACATCAGCTCAATAAGTCATATTGTTAAGGAGAACGCTAGAAGTAGCAAGACAAGTTGTCAAGTCCTAAAAAGACACACACTAGGCTAATTTCTAGAAGAACAGAATTGGAAAGCAGAAAGATTATGTTCAGTTAGACCACACTAAGGGATTGTAGTGATTGTAACAAGGTCAGCCAGGTGTACCTCATAGAATATGAGTGCCCTGATTGGGGCTGTTAATCTGGTCCAATCAGGGTGCACTGACTGGCAGACAACACCGGAAGTGTCAGACATCCTGTCACTCTGAGGGAGCTGGATAAGTGTCAAGGACTTTCCACGTTAAGTAAAGGGTGACTTGGTGATGGGATAACAGCCTCTGTGGAGTTATTTCAAGGATGTGTGCATAATTCTGGTTTCCTTTTACAAAAAAGATTTAGAGGCATTGGAGAAGGTGCAAAAAACTAACTGACCTTGTAGCCGTCAGGAAAGACTGAATGTGAACAGGCTGAGCCTTGTTTCTCTAGAAAGAGGTAGATGTCTTGAAAGTGCTCTGAAGGCATTTGATAGCTAAATGTAGAGATGTTGGAGGGATAGTCCAAATCTAGGGATCATATATACGAGGTAGTCACTAATAAAGCCAATAAGGAAAGCAAAGGAAATGTTTTTATTAAGAGAGTGGCTAGGACAAAGAACTTGCCACCACATGCAGTGATTGAGGCTATCAGCATTGATGCATTAAGGAGTAAGCTAGGAAACGAGGTTAGATGAAATAGAGAGGGAGAAGGCTTGTGTGGAGCAGAAACACTGGTATGGGACGAGTTTGGTTGAATGCCCTGTTTCTGTGATTTAAATCTATACAATGCTATGCCATATGAGTACTAGTTTTTGACTGTATTTAGTTTACCTTGGAAGGATCCAACAGCTGGTCAATCTGTTTCTCTTTTCTGCTGTTTTCCTCCTCTGATCGCCTCAGCTTTGTTTTCAAAATATAATTCTCAGCCTTCTGGGTTTGAATCATCTGTGGGAAATAGGGAGTTTGGAGAGACACATAACATGATGAGGGAAATTAGCCACTGATTGTTTGTATTGGATGGTCTGAAATATTTGGAATCCATCAGATACTGCACCTGCTTACATCACAAGTAACAACTTTACTTTTGAACTTGGATGTTTTTCTCCTCCTCTCCACTTTCTTTCAGATTTGCCACCAAGCTGTTCCTTAGATAATGTTGGCTCAGAGAGAAAAGCTGCTATTCTTTTTAAAAAAATTTAACCTATTTTTCTAACCAGCCTTTTAAGAGATACTATAACACCCTTGTGGAGCAGGTGAGACTTAAACGTGAGCCTCTCAGTCCAGGGATAGGGACACTACCACTGCACCACTGGTTCCTTGAATAGTATCACAGGAGCTTTGATAGGTGTCAGTCATGGGTCGGCGGTAGCACTTTCTTCTTGGGAGACTAGAGGTCTTGGGTTTCAGACAATCACAAAATCTGCCTATGTAATTTGTCATACTATAATTAAACTCCATTGCTGGAGGTTAAATATTTTTCAGGTATCCTCATATTTTCCCACTCCAAATCCTTTGTTTTCAAGTAGGATAATGAATATCAGGTGCAATATTGAAGAGGTGGAGTTGGGAGAGCCAAGGCAGATCCATTTCTTATGTGTTTTAAAATATTAATTCTTTAGAATACAGGTATCCCTGGCAAGGGTGGCATTTATTCCCCATCCCAAGAATCATTGAGAAAATGATGGTGAAATAACTTCTTAAACTGCTGTCATCTGTTCAGTGAATGTGATTCCTCAGGACTGTTTGGTAAGATATAATTCTTTGTAGAAATTTGATTTATTGAGTTGCAGTTGTCAGCCCACAGCTGAAATCACTGATTCTATGCAGTTTCATGTCTCATTTGAATCTCATTTCTGCTTCGATATTTGATCTTCAAATAAACCTAAATTGAATTCTTAACTTTTAAACTTTGATTTAAATCCAAGCGTGATTGTGTTTTGATTAAGTCAAAATTACTCTCATATGTGATTGGTATCAATGTCTCCTAGCTGTGGATTTTGGCCCTGTTCCCAAGGTTAACCAGCTGTGTTTTGGCTAGATGCTGCTATTCTGCCCTTAGAAACTTGTTGTCAAGTTTTATTTTGTTGCTTAAGAAAAGGAATTTTTCATAACTTGTTGATTGTGATGACCCCGGACTACACGTCTAAAGAATGAATAGCCTTACATTGGACGGTCAATGGAACGACGTTCGATTGATGGACAGTATATATTTGACAGACATCATTAAGGATCCGTCAACAAACATAGTTATGTAAAGTAGGCAGATTTTGCTAAGCCCATGAGCGATAAGACTTGTGCTTCAAGATTTTTTGATTTGAGAAACTATGGATGGAAGACTCAAAAGGCTAGAAAGTAGCAAGAAATTTAGCTTAAAGGACTGTGCTTCCAGAATTTGCTGCTGCAGCTGAGTGGTCAACAGATGACCACTAAGACTATAGAGGAAAGGGACATCAATGAAGTGATTAATCATTCCCCCTGTAAAACTATTTTAAGATTTGGTACGTATACGATTGTTTTTACCATTTTAGGGCTTTACTAATTTGGGTTACTTTACCATTTTTGATCGTGGGCAGACTAATCTGGGGTTAATGTCTGCTCTATAATAAAGTCGCTGTTCCTCCTCTCTTCCGATACATCTGAATCCTTTCCTTCTTTTCAATAAAATTATCTTCTTAGGTATATTATCATTTATAATTGTTTTCTAATCACTCTATTATTGTTACATTCAATAAAAATTGTTGTTTTAACATATTCCTGTTATGTTCAAAGTATGGTTCCAAATCCAAAAGAGACCCTGCAGACTCTCACACTACACAGCTAAGAGTCAATTGTAGTGCTTTAGGATTGTAATGACGTATAAACTGACACCTGTCTGTGCGCTCAGTTGGATGCAAAATACTTTGTTGTACTTTGTCAAAGAAGAGCCGAAATTCTCTCGAATGTCTTGATCAATATTTATCACTCAATCAACATCATTGAAACAGATTATCTGTTTGTGGTACAATGATGTGCACAAATTGATTGGCATTTCCTCCACATTAAAATTGCAAATACAGTTCAAAAGTAATTTATTCACAATCACGCACTTTGGTATGTCCCTAGGTTGTGAAAGGCACTATATACATGTTAACCTTTCTTTGAATGTATTAACTCTTAGCGGAGCAAACTAAGATGTCGTTATTAGCCTATGCAAGTGGGCATGAAGTTCTGTTTATGATCAAAGAAAACTTGAAGCCACATGGCATTCAGCACTGCTCAGGATGACATTTAAGTTTGCTATTGCTGGTAACGTTAGCAATTACATTGTATCCATGCAGAAGACTGTACCCCTTCCTGGTTTCTATTCTTGCTGTAGTCTCCAGTGGCAGAGCTGCAACATAAGTGCTCAAAGTCCTTGTTCAGACTTGTTGGTTACAGGAACTCTATCAATTGTAAACTACTGAGTAACATCTGTCTCCATTTAGGCAGCACTCACCTTCTTCAATTCAATGATCTCATCATACATGTCTTCTTTCTCCTTGTAGTTGGGGGTGCCAGGGATATAACCTACAGCACAAAGGAAAGAGGAGTCACAATGAGGAGTGAGAAAAGTCAGAAAGCAAAAGGAGAAGGAAAGGGAATGAGACAGTAGAAAGATAAAATGCGGGGGAAAGAGAGAGAAAAATATGAGAGACAGAGTTAACAGAAACTGGTTACTATTGAACAGAGTTACAGGGATTTCTCAATCATCATATGGGGAATGTCAAGGCCATTTAAAGACTTCAGAATAATGCAAATAAGTCAAGACCAAGATTTGGATCTTTTGAGGAAAGGCATTTTTTGCTGGGTCTTCCATTTATGACTTTCCCACATATGTGGAGCACAGCGTCCACTGGAAAACTCCAACACAGCAGAATTTCAGATGTGTGAAGGAATGGGGTAGAATACAGGATATGCAAATTCCGATGGCACTCGCAACTGTATGGCACATTAAAATGACCGTGTTGAATGTTAGTGAGTGAGTGAGTGAGTGGATGAAGGTGAATGGATAAGATGATAGGGTAGGTGAAATAACTCCACATTGGCTGGTGTCCCATCACCAAATTACCCTTTATTTACACATGGAGAGTCCTTGACACTGATCCAACTCCTTCAGAGCCGGCTTTCAAAGTGAACGGGATGTCTGACAGTCTTGTTCTTATCTGTCAGCCAGGACTCCCTGATTGGACCAGATTAACAGCCACAACTAGGGAACTCATAATCTATGAACTCCACCTGGCTGATCTCGTTACAATCACTATATCTCTTCCCATCATTAAGGGTTAAACCAAAGTCACATGCCTCTGCCAGTTGTCTTAACCTCGTCAAAAACATCAATACAGATTCTCTGGTTCTCGAATTACTCAGTGAAACCAATAGCATCTCAGAATTAGAGGAGGCTTGGAATCGTAATATTCCTTAACTAAATCCGTCAACTCTTGAAAGGTTTTAGTATCTCGTGCCTCAGGGAAAGTAACGGAGAAAGCTGCTTTTCATCTGGCCCAGTGTCATTTGCCCAGAAAAAATAACGCATTCTTTCCACATACTGGGCCCAGTCTTCGATGACAGGATCGAACTAGTCAAGCTTCCCATGACATCACTCCAGAAATGCTTCCCCAACTCCAAGACAACTGTTGCGTATGAATTTCTTCAGGAGCATGCTTTTATCTCGCCAATATTGAAATAACTCCACAGAGGCCGGTATCCTGTCACAAAGTCAGCCTTTATTTACATGTGGAGAGTCCTTGACACTGATCCAGCTCCCTCAGAGTCAATAGGATGTCTGATACTCCTGGGCAGGTGGGTTGAATGGAAGTCAGATTCGGTTGGAGGTAGGGTGGTTGGGACCGATCAGATTGGGGTTACTGGGGGTATTTGCGGGGTTCGGGGGATAATTAGGTGGTCAGGGGTTATAACTGGATCACATTTGGTATCAAGTGCTGGTTAGTTCGGTGGTTGCAATCATTGGATGTTATTGGAGGAAAGTTGTACAGTTACCGAGGGGTTAGGCCAGGGGTGGGGTTGGTCATAGCAAGCAGTATAATTATCCAGCAGAAGTTTAAATTTGCTGGGCAATTCCATGGAAATGAATACATCAGAACTTCCACATGGTCCTGAAGCAGATCTGTGATTGTCTGACACTTGACGTACGATCGTAGAGTGGAAGGTTTGGTTGTATCATTCAAGAAACAGTTGATGTAGTGATGTAAAGAAAGTTAATTAGTTTTGCAGGGACGAAGAAAATGAGATTCATGGCTTGTTATCTAGAAGCATATTGTCTATTGTTACTCAGTTACTGATTTTTGAAAGTGGAGAGCAACAGGGTGAAAAACCCTTGAAAATCTTCCTAAAACCAAACATTGGGCTGCGAAGAAGGACAATTACTTATTTTGAGTCAATTCTTAAAGGGGAAGATGTTTATCAAGAATACCCACCATTACTGGCTGATCGGGAATGCTTTGGTTTTTTCATACCAAAAGCCTCTTTCAGATATTCTGGTGTACTTGTGTGGCTTGAATTCCGACTGTATCCAGAGTCATACTCAGTTTTCAGTGACTGGGACAAAGCTGAGGGAACAAATGTTTATAACAACGTGACAGTAATGAGATTCACAACACCGTTACACTCAAACACTCTAACATACCGAAAAGCTATGTACATGTATATATGAATACACAGATATGTATCCACAGGTACATATATGCATGAGCACACACACTTGTACAGACTGGGCCGGGTGATGTTACTTGTCCTTGATCAAATGAAACTATGGGATGATTGCTGGTGGTGCTCTTTCATCAATTCTTTTAAGTTTCAAATCTGCAAACACACTCACACCATAACTCGGGTATGGGAATGTAAGCAGGAACATGATCAGATTCAGATGTGAGGCCTCCAATGTTTAAATTGACAAGTCTGAAATGGCTACTGTTCCTCAGCATGCAACCAATATGGGAGAGGTAGATAATGGAGGGGAGGAATGGTGAGTGGCAGGGAGAGAAGTGGAAAGGAGGAAAGCAAAAGGGAATGTGAGAATGATTAGAGGGAAGGGGTTGTTAAGACTGTTGGGAGAAGGCCAGGATAGGAGAGGAAAGAGAAGAAGAGGAGGGGAGAGGATGAGAGAAAAGAGGAGAAGAGGAAATTGAATGAACCCATATTGCAGTCACTTACCGACACCTTGTTTAAGTGATGGCACCCACATCTCTCTAGGCACCTTGGCTGATGGGTTTTCCATGTGCATGGTCCCTGTACCCTTCAATGACCTCCATACAGCTACCTTCTTCGGATGCAAGTACGCGTTTGAGAGATACGGTGATTCTGTAGGATGAAGGAAGTGAGATATAGTCAGTAAGCAGCAATTCAAAGATACCTTGGACAGCAGTTCCTGCAACAACATATTGTGGTTTTTCTGTGTTCAAACGTCAGCTGTGGCTCAGTGGTGGTACCCTTACTTTTGACACAAATGTTTGAGAGGCCAACCCTCCCTCCAAAGAATTAGGCACACCATTCAGGCTCTTTGTCCACTGAAGTACTGAGGGAATTCTGCTCTGTTGGAGGTGGCATCTTTTGGATGCTGTGTTATACTAAGGGAATATCTGTCCTCTTTGATGGATTAAAAGATTCCATGACAGCATTTGGAGTGCAGCAAGGGAGTTTTCAAATACTGTTCCCTCAATCAATGCAAGTAAAAACAAGTTATTTGATTGTTAGCACTTGGTACAAATTTGCTGCCAGTAAACTGGTTAATGCATTTAGAGTCATAACAGCACAGACGGAGGCTACACTGGCTCTCTGTGGGGTAATCCAATCAATCTTATTCTCCCACTTGAACTCCCTCATCTGTGTCTCGTGCTATAGCGGTGACAGAACTCTTAAAGTACTTAATTGATTGTAAAGCATGTTGGGATGTCTGAAGTCATAGAAAGCAGTATACCATCACCAAGTCTTTAAGACTAGAAGATGTAGTAACAGAAATAGGCTACTTGGCCCATTGAGCCTGCTCCATCATTCAATGAGATCAGATATGACCCGATCATCCTCAACTCCACTTTTTGTCTTTTCCTCATAAACCTTGATTCCCTTACTGCTTGGAAATCTGTCCATCTCATTCTTGAATACATTTAACAACTGAGCCTTGACAGCCCTCTGTCATTAAGAATTCCACAGATTCACCATGCTGAGAGAAGATATTCCACCTCATCTCTGTCTTAAATGGTTGACCCTTACTCTGGTCCTAAACTCTGCCACAAGGGGAAATAAACTTTCCAAATTAACCCTAAGAATCTTACACATTTCAGTAAGGTATCTTCCCATTCTCTAAATTCTCTAAATGAGCACAAACCCAACCTACTCAACCTCTTTCATAAGAAAATCCCTCCAGATCCGGGATGAACCTAGCGAACCTTCTCTGAACTGCTGCCAATGCCAGTATATCTTCCTTTAGACGAGAGGACCAGAACTGTTGCCTGTATTTTAGCTGTGATTTGATAGTTTTAGCAAGACCTCCCTATTTTTATACTCCATTCTCTTTGAAATAAAGGCCAACATTCCATTTGCCCAAATTGCATGGTAGATGTTTGTGATTCATACACTAGGATTCCCAAGTCCCTCTGCAGCTTTCTGTAGTCTTTCCCCTTCTGAATAATATTAAGCTTGTCTTCTCTTCCTGCCAAAATGCGTAAGATCACATTTTCCCACATCATATTCCATCTGCCAAGTTTTGCCAGGTCACTTAACTTATCTATATCCATCCGTTGACTCCTTGCATTATTCCCACTACTTACTTTCCCACCTAATTTTGTTAATCTGCAGACTTGACATAGTACATTCACTTCTGACATCCAAGTCTTTATACATATTGTAAATAATTGTGCTCCCATCACTGAGCCCTGTGGTGTTCCAGTGGTTTAGGCCACCATCTGGAAAATGCCCCCATATCCCAACTTTCTGTCTTCAATTAGTTAGCCAATCCTGTATCCATGTGAATACAGTACCCCAAAATACTCATCAAATGCCTTTCATATTGCATTTGACACAGACTTCAAGCAGGCCCACAAACAGGGAAGCCAGTAAAGAGGCACTTTGTGCTGTTTTACACAGGATTCATATCTAAAATCTTTCACACTCATTACTGCCCAGACTCACCCATAAGTTTGACCATTTTAACAGCCTAATGTTAGTCTTCACCGACGTCATGGAGAGAATTATGCATGGTGATAAAGTTTATTTTCTAGCCGATCCCATTGGTTTTCCCCTCAGATTAAAATTACAATACGATATACTTTACAACACAGCACAGGAACAGGCCCTTCAGCCCACCAATTCCTAATCCTTATTCAGACTGTGATAATACTATGGCTTCAAGAGCTGTATTTTGTCCTGATTTTTTTTATGAAGGAAGATTGAGACAGAGATACCGAGTGGTATGCTCAAAGCCAATAAAGTAAACAGCTTGAGGTGCCTTGGATTTTTAAAAAAAATTCGAACAATAGAAGTACCTTGACTGGGTGGGGTCAAGCCCCCACAGAACAAGGATTTTTAGTTTTAGCTTGTTGTAGTTACTGGGCTCTTGAAGCTGAATGTGGAAGCTCTTATTCGTATCTCTATCATAGCTAAAAGCTGGGGTTCTCTTACTGCTGCTAGAATTGCATGTGAGGCAATCTATTTTACTGAATTTGCCTCTGCCAAGGGTGTGTTTATGGGATGTTACTATATATTATTTTGTTAAGAATTTTGATAGTTACAGTTAAGCCAAATCTTTTGTTTTTATTTTGTCTGTATTTTAACTTGTAGTGAAAAAATAGCATGTTTGCTTAAAGCTGAGCAGTTTGCCTAATCGAATTGCATCTAGAATGCAACACCTTACACTTACCTTTAAAATGAGAAAAAGTTAGGGTCTAGGCGATTCTCTTAATATATTTTCAGAGGGTTTGGTCTGGTCCATAACAGAACTCATTGCCCATATGTGGTTTCTATCCCTCTGCTCACCTCCCGTTCATGTATCTATCAAGATACACCTTAAACATTGCTAACATGCCAGCTTCGACCACCTCCACCGGCAGAGTGTTCCAGGCACCCACCACCCTCTGTGTGAAAAATATTTCCTGCTCTTCTCCCCTAAACATTTCCCCTCTCACCTTGAACCCTTGCCCTCTTGTAGTTTATCTTTCCACCCTGGAAAAAAGCCTCTGACTATCCACCCTACATATGCCTCTCATAAATTCATAGCCCTCTATCAGGTCACCCCTTAGCCTTTGTCTTTCCAGTGAAAACAATGAGTTTATCCAATGTCTCCTCATAACTAAAACACTCCAGACCAGGCAACATCCTGGTAAACTTTCTCTGTATCCTCTCCAAAGCATCCACATCCTTCTAGAAGTGTGACAACTAGAACTGCATGCAAAATTCCAAATGTGGCCTAACTAAAGTTTTGTACAGCTGTAACATAACTTGCAAACTTTTATATTCAATACCCTGGCTGATGAAGGCAAGCGTTCTGTATGTCTTCTTGACCACCTTATCCACCTGTGCTGCCACTTTCAGGGACCTGTGGATTTGTACGCCCAGATACCTCTGAATATCAATGCTCCTAAGGGGTCTGCCGTTTGTTGTACATTTCACACCTGAATTTGATCTTCCAAAATGCATCACCTCGCATTTGTTCGGATTAAACTCCGTCTGCCATTTCTCTGCCCAAATCTGCAATCTATCTATATCCCAAACCTCTTCACTATCCGCAACTCCAACTTGGTGTCATCTGTAAAATTACTACTCAGATCGCCTGCAGTTCCTCCAGATCATTTATATATATTACAAACAACAAAAGATCCCAGCACTGATCTCCATTCCGAAAAGCATCCTTCCACTGCAACTCTGTCTTCTTTGACGAAGACAGTTCTGTATCCATCCAGCCAGCCAGTACACCCCGGATTCCACGGGACTCTACCTTTTATACCAGCCTGCTATGAAGTACCTTATCAAATGCTTTACTAAAGTCCATGTAGACAACATTCACTACCATTCCCTCATCAATCATTCTTGTCACCTCCTCAAAAAACTCAATCAAGTTGGTGAGACATGACCTTCCCCGCACAAACCCATGATACTTTTCACTAACAAGTCCACTTGCTTCCAAACGTGAGTAAATCCGGTTTTCCAGTATCTTCTCCAATAGGTTCCTCACCACTGATGTCAAGCTCACCAGCCTGTAATTACTTGGATTGTCTTTGTTTCCCTTCTTAAACTTTGAAACAACATGGGCCATTCTCCAGTCCTCTGAAACCTTACCTGAGGCCAAAGAGGATGCAAAGATATTTGTTAAATCCCTCTTGTTGCCTCCCACAGTATCCTGGAGTAGATCTTAATGCATTTCAAGGCACCCAACACTTCTGCCTTCGTTATGTTGACCTGCCCAAGAGTATTCAGATGCGTTTCCCTAACCTCAACATCCCTCACATCCCTCGCTTTGAAGAAAACCGATGTAAAGTACAGTTCATTAAGCATCTCACCCATTTCCTTTGGATCCACACATAACCTCTGTCCTTTATCCTTGAGTGAGCCTACTCTTTCCCTAGCCACCCTCTTGCTCCTAATATATGTATAAAATGCCTTGGGATTCTCCTTAACTCTACTGGCCAAGGACGTTTCATGGCCTCTTTTAGCCCTCCTGAGGGCTAACTGCCAATTTCAGCTCCTTCCTACTTTCTCTATATTCTTCAAGGACTTCATCTGTTTCTAGTTGCGTGGACATTGGGTGTGCTTGCCTTTTTTCTTGACTAAGCCGATAATTTCTCCTGTCATCCAAGTTTCCCGAATCGTACCATTCCTGTCTTTCATTTTCACAGGAACATGCTATCTTGCACTCTAATCAACTGGTCTTTAAACAACTTCCACATGTCAGATGTGATTTACCCTCAAACAGCCAACCCCCAACCCACATTCTACAATTCTTGCCTAATTCAGTTATAGTTGGCCTTCCCCCAATTTAACATCTTCATCGGATGTCCACTCTTGTCCTTATCAATAGGTATCCAGAAGGTTACGGAATTATGGTCACTATTCTCAAAATGCTCGCCCACTGAAACTTTGATCATCTGGTTGGGCTCATTTCCCAAATCCAGGTCTATATTGCCCTCTCCCTCATCAGACTATCCAGGTACTGCTTCAAAAGACCCTCCTGGACATACCGCTATGTCGTCTCCCTTATAATCCAGATGTAATGTAATGGCTTCAGAAGGGAAACGTTAGATGGTAAACAGTTGCACTGTGAATTTGAATTAGTTTTACTCACTTGGGGATTTGGGTGGCTTATTTGATTTCTTCTTCTTGTGTTTCTATACATAAAAAAACAAAGTAGATCAGTAAATTAACCTTTGTAAATTTCACTTTAATAACTGTTGCTTTGTGATCTTTGAATTGCACAGTTGAGAGTTGAAACTTGAAACTTGTAGACAAACTCTAGGCTGACACTGCAGCATCATACTATTTGAGGTGCTGCCTTTTAGATAAAACAATACACTTGTTCAAACAGGGCAACGGTCTGGTATGGTGTGAGGTCAGGCAGTGCGCAAATTTGGTGCTACCTTGTCATTTTAACTATAGCAGCATGCAGCCCAATGCAAGCTGTGTTATTGGCTGCATGCTTCGCAGGGGGTTTAAGAGCACGTTTGAGACTAGTACACACTCCAGTTAGCCTCCAGCTCTTAAAATGAAGTCTGCTATGAATCGATGTTGGTGTAAATCTGAACAAGAAATATGGAGCACCAGATAGCAAGTTGAGAACAATGATGAAGTCTGGCCCAGAGGACCTAGCAGCAGTGCTGAAGGAAGTTTAATGAACTTGCACACTAATTAAGGTCAGCAAATTCATCTTCAAACGCCTCATCCAATTTCACCTTAAATTTTTATGTTATTGGAACCCAAAATATCCCACTTGGCTAGTTACTTTGCACTCAGGAGCGAGTGTGTAACCAGTTAAAAACCCTGTAGAGACTAATAACTTTTTAAAGAAGAGATTAATTTATCAGCACCTGACAAAGAATCATGAGATAAAGTTTCACATTTTAAGAGTTCACTGTAACAATCAAACTAACATTAACATAGACTAAATATTCAAAAACAGGCAGAAAAACAGAAATTGCTGGAAAATCTCAGGTCTGGCAGCATCTGTGGAGAGAAAGCAGAGTTAATGTTTCGGGTCCACCTCCTTATTGAGCTGGAGTCAACTAAGGCAATGCTCCGGGGTCAAGTGTAGGGACAGTATCCTTAATGGATAATGAGATATGGCCAAATAGTGAGCGTGAAATTCAGGTCTGTAGCGCTGTTATAGATACTGCATTCTATAGAATCTCTGTAAAGCAATATTGTTCCTACCTCTTTGCTGAGGTACCCCTTCTGGGGCTCTGTTCAGTTATAAGGTCATGTTGAAATCTAAGAGGAATTACAACCACGGGCCAATATATGAATCAGCAACTCCTGTGTCCTTCCAGATTTTAAGCACTAGTTTTGAAAAAGAAAACCTCCAAGCACACAGCACAGCACTTATACAAATAAACAGAAAATGCTGAAAATAATCAGCAGGTATGGAAATATATGAGGAAAGAGAAGATGTCAACGTTATCTTCTACAAACGAAACCTGAGTAGAAGCAAGTCAAAAAACACCTCAACTGAAGTTGTTACCTAAGCCTTCAGTTAATCCTAGTGCTGAGCCCCACTTGCAGCTGAAAGCATATTCTTCGGTGAATAAAAAACAAATACATTGAACAGACTTGTACAGTCCAAATTTGCAATAACTGTGTAAAATCATCCAGTAGAGGTGATAAACATCATGACTGTGATCATTAAAAGGTTTCTGCCATATGCAAGGCACAAGCAAGTGAATGCTCTTTTCAGCATGTGGTACTGTGGAGGCTGCACTAGACGTGGCTGAAGATGCAGCATGCTCTGGTCCCCCAACGTTTGCGTCTGCTCTTGTTCACTCCAGTTGTCATTTTGGTTTCTGGAGTGTTCACCAACGCTGGAAATTATTGATCAATTTGAATTTGATATTGTATAGGGATTCAGCTGTAGGATCAATCTTAGCAATTTCAAAGAGCTGGCTCAGACACAATAGGCTGAATAGCATCCTCCTATGATATATAATTCTATATTAAGAGTATTCAGTTTTTCTGGTGCTGTCTCCAGCCTTGATATTAATTTCAAGCTCATCATTCAGTCATTATCATACTGCTGTTTATCAGATCTTTTTGTGTTCAAATTGATTACCACATTTCCTACATTACAACAGGGATGATAGTTCAAAAATTTCTAAATTGATTGTAAATTGGTATGATTACCTGAAGACCACATTTTCCTAGTGGTTTGTTTTTCTTTCCTTTATTAAAAATTCTATTTAGTATCCTTGAGGTTATTTATACTTCCAGGTGAGTCTCTAGTAGCTGTGATACATTTGCAATTAATTGATCAGCACAGCCTTTCCACATATTTTCAGTACTGATCATCTTTTTAAAAAATTCATTCACAGGATGAGGGTGTTGCTGGTTAGGCCAGCATTTATTGCCCATCTCTAATTGCCCAGACAGCAGTTAAGAGTCAACCACATTGCTGTGGATCTGGAGTCATACGTAGGCCAGACTAGGTAAGGATAGCAGTTTCCTTCCTTAAAGGGCATCAGTGAACTAGGTGGGGTTTGGAACAATTGACAATGGTTTCACGGTCATTGTTAGACTCTTAATTCCAAATTTTTATTGAATTCAAAATACCACCAGCTGCTATGGCGGGATTCAAACCCAGCACCTCAAAACACTACCTGGGTCACAGTATTAACAGGCCAGCAATAACACCAGTTGCCATCACCAGCTGCTGCTGGTCATGTTAAAACAAAGATGTTCAGCTTTGGAAGTCTGAGTTAGGGATAACGAGATGATTCCATGCAAGTCAATATTTCACCCCAGCAACATGCCCACCTGGGGTTTGGTACATCATGAGCACACTATTTTCAGAATCCTGCACTTGATATTTTCTTCTCTATTTGTTGACTTACTAACACAACAGTTATGTTAATATACGCTGTAAAAAGTATTTTTTGCAATTATGGAAATTGTTTTCCAATTGGCAACTGAGTGCCTTTCAAAAGGAGCTCTTGAGTTTGTCAATAGTTGCTGGGTGGAGGGGCAGGAAGCGAGAGTCATGTCAATATTTACGGGTGATCCCCATGACAGTGCTAACATTTGTTGCTGATTCCCGGGAGTATGCCAGTATTTACTAATGATCTTCAGGAGTGTGTCAATGTTGATAGAGGATTTCAAGCAGTGTGCCAATATCGGTTGCAGCATGGTAGGGAGAGTTTACTGACACTCCGCCAATCAAAATGAACAAAAGGGCAGCTTTGAGTGCATAAATATATCGTATATCATAGGTATCGTACCTTTTCTATATCAGATTCATATGTAATGATTGAAAGTCCATCCTCTCCCTGAAACAGAAAGAAGTACATAATTAAACTTCATCACACTGGAAGGCAACTCTCTCTTCCCTTCTTAGTCCTATTCTAATGTGTCCTTTACTATTCCATGAGTCAGAAGATTGTTGTCTTGAGTCTCAGTTCACCATTTTTCTCTACACTGACATATTGCGGTACTAAGGGAGTGCTGTACTGTTTTTTGAAGGAGGTATTAAACCACTGTCCACCGCATCCCTGGTGGTCCGCAAGTGATCCCAGAGTACTCAGCAATGAAGGGCTGGGGAGTTCTCGCTCTCTCTCTTCACGACCTCCAATAACAAACACACTCCCCAAACTAACTCTTGCCCCATCCCCATGCACAATTGGCTCCTGTGTTACATATATCATCACACTTCATAAAAAAATAACTTCACTGGCCGTAAAGAACTAAAGTGCTTTCGAAAATCTCAAGATTAGGCAAAAATATCCAGGAATAAAATAAATGGAGAAGGAGGACAGGGAGTAATGGAGGAGAGGGAGGAGAGGGGTGGGTAGTAAGGGAGTAAGGTAATTGGACAAGTGTATAGCATAGGTTGGATAGGGAGAGGAATGGTTTTGGGGCGGGTGAGAAAATAAACTGCGTGTATTTTTTTTCATAAACTCGGTCATTGAAATCCTCACAGATTCCTTCTAAATATAAAAACCGGATGCTGTAAATCAGAAACAAAAACAGAGGTTTCGGGGGGGGTAACTCAGCAGATCTAGCAGCATCTGTGAAGAGAAAATCAGTTCTCGGGAAGGGTCCCCGGACCCGAAACGTTAACTCTGATTTTCTCTTCACAGGCGCTGCCAGACCTGCTGAGCTTTTCCAGCAACTTCTGTTTTGGTTTCCGCACTTTCTTTTCCTGGTGGTGGCCTCTCACCCCCAGGTCCTCCTCAGTCCCATCACTCAGCGACATCTCGGCACATCAGGACCACTTCGTGTCTGGGTCCGGGGGCCCAGATCCGGCTGTTTGACGGCGGGGCTATAGCAACGGGAGGGAGTCACAACACCGCGGGCCGACAGAAAGCTTATCCGGAGTGAGTTGGATGGCAGAGCGTTGCGAGGTTGATGCAGAGTGAGGGATTAACCTCAAAATAGAAGCGCGGACGAGTGAGCCCGAGGAAGATCCAAACACCGGGAGGAAGTGAAAATCGCCGCAAAATAACGGTGTCTGAAATATTCAGCCACCGACTGCTTATCCACGGCGCACCTTTCGCATAGGGACGCGCATCGGAAATCTGTTTATCTGTTTCTGCTAAATTATTCTTCGAAGGAGGAGGAAAGGTCAGTAAAGCAAACACTTGGATGTCGTGTTCGAAAACTCTTAAACGATTGCATGGGTGATCTGGACACAAACTGGATCCCGGGGCATAAACCGCGGCCAAATCGATCGGGGACAACAACTCCACGCCGATTTCCGTCGGCCCGTTGAACCAATCGATTCCTCGCCGTCTCTCGCTCTCTGTGATCGGTATCGGAGGCGATACCTCGGGAGGAGCGAAGGCTGCCCAGTCGGTACCTGAGGCTCAAATCGAGGGACGGACGGAGGGAGGGAGGAGGAGAAGAAGAAGAAGAAGAAGAAGAAGAAGGAGAGCCATCGCGAAAATATCTCACCGTAAGACCCTTCAATTTTGTCACATGCGCGAAGAGGGAACAAAAAAGTTGTCAAAACTTAAGATTAAAGTTTTTTTTCCGCCCAAAAAAGATTTGGAAGCAGCGAAGTATTTTGCGTGTTATTTATTTTGTCGTCTTGTGTTTATTATTGAGGAAATCACATGGCAACTTGTCGGCTCACATGATTTGGAAATGGAGACGGAGATTAACGAAGGTAAGATGGAAAACTTCAACGTGTCTTCTTCCAGCAGGCAAGGTCTGGTTCGGTCCTTGTTCTGAACATTTTGAAGACTAACGGTTCGTGATGAGTCTTTCCCTTGGCCATGGGAGTGAAATCACTCGAAAACCCAACTGTCTGATGAATGAAAATACTTGGGAGGCAATCGAGGGCTGTGGGGGGCGGGGAGAGGGTCTGTGGTGAAAGGGGGGGTCAGTGGTGAAAGGA